GGGGGGGGGGAGGGGGGACACCCGTGTGCGGTGCGGCCCCCAGCAGTGCAGCTCGCCCTACCGTAGCCCAAGGGCCGGCGAACATGCATTTACAGAGAACGCGTCTGTCTGATTTCTACACTCAGGTTCACAAAAACATTACACTTGTCTGTGAAAGTATTCTTCTGAATCTTTTTCTGATCCTGCAAAATTTGTCATTTAATTTTCAAGGTAGTGATTTAAATTAAGACTTTGGAAACTCAGGTTTGTTGCTTGAAGTGAAAGGTATAACATAATAAGATAGCAAAACATTATTTTCTGAAATATGGCGTGGCCACTTACAAATATTGCTGGCAACCCCTAACTAACACTCGTGAACTTCCTGATTTTAAGTTGCCGTCCCGGAGTAACGCGCGGTAAACTTTGCTGGTTCCGGGGCGAGCGTGCTTTTTGAGTCGGGTGACCGCACAGCCACCTTCTCCCTGCCTCACTGAGCGTGTTCATGTCTCACTTGCAGCCATGAAGGAGGACAGGCGTGTGGAGGAGAAGACCGCAGTGGTGGCTGTTGGGCCGAAGAAGATGGCCCCTCCGGGCTCCTCAGCAGGCGGCAAACAACCTTCACCCAGAAACCTCCTGCCGAAGAAGTCCCCTCCCTTCGCAAACGCAGCAGCAGCCAAAGTGGCCAGCAAGAAGTCGCCATCGGGCTTCAAGGGCACCATACCCAAGAGGCCGTGGCTCTCGGCTGCCCCGCCGGGTGGCACCCCCACCGCCAAGCAGGCCAGGCTGGCGCCTGGGACTGCCACGTCCGCTTCCAAAAAGTCACCGGGCTCTGCCGCATTGGCGGGGGCCCTCAGGAAGCCAGTGGCCACCTCCGGCCCCTTGGCTCCTCCGGCCCCAGGACGCCTGGGGACCTCGAGCCCTGCCCTGTCACAGCCAAATTCACAGATACGGCAGAACATAAGACGCTCCTTGAAGGAGATTTTGTGGAAAAGGTGGGCTGTCCTGCTTGATTTCTTGCTGTCGAAGTGGGTTCGGCCTGGTCGTTTTCACATTTCCACCCTTCGAGACCAGGCACAGGTGGGATTTATGCAGCTCTTCTCTTCCTGTTCCTAGAGTCAACGACAGTGATGACCTAATCATGACGGAAAACGAAGTAGGAAAAATTGCCCTCCATATTGAGAAAGAGCTGTTTAACTTGTTCCAAGTTACAGACAATCGCTACAAGAGTAAATACCGCAGCATCATGTTCAACCTCAAGGATCCCAAAAATCAGGTGTGTGCAGATGACCCGAGTGGGAACTTTCTGGCTTACCAGGTTCTTTTAGCCACACTTCATAGTGAAAAGCTAGACACGGCACGCTGAAGAGCTGTCCTTTCCGTCGAAGTTGGAAGGACCCGCCTTGTTGGTATAGAGAATTCCCGTTTGTCCTTCCCTCCCCTGCCTAACCTGGGGTCGGAGTCAGGGGTTCTTGCTGGTTCTCTGAAGTCCGTCCTCGTTTCACCAGATTGTTCTCTACACGTGGCTGTATGGTTTCTATTGTTCCGTTGGCTCCGGAGTAATATTGAGATTCTTTATCTTAGAGATACGGGTGTCTCCATCTTTGAGCTTCAGACAACTTTCTCTGCCTTGTTACTGTTCCATCAGTTGAGTCAGCCTGCTGATCTGGGTGTCCTTGAGCAGTAATGGGTCCTAAGCACGCCCTGCAGCGCTCCCCCCTTGGACAGGTGCTGTTCTCACTCAGGGAGCGGGGCAGAGTCCTAATGGCAGCCGTGGGGGGCAGTGTCTCGCAGTGAGGTTGAAACGGGAGCACTCAGAAAGCATTGGCCACTCGCCTGGTGTGGTTTCCCCCAGCTCCTGCCCTCTGAGGCTCACCGTCTTCTGGCCTTCTCTCCAGATGTTCAGGAACAGACTCCCATACTCTTACCTCCCATCACGCTGTAGTTAACACTGTAGGGGGGGGTGGTGATTCCCACCTTTACTCCTAATCTTTTTTTTTTTTTTTTAGCTTTCTTTTTAAAGTTTATGTATTTACTCTGATAGAGAGCATGAGTGGACAGGGGACAGGGGGGCGGGGAGAGAGAGAATCCCCAGTAGGGCTTGGTGCCGTGAGCGCGGACCCATTGCGGGGCTCGATCTCATGAACCATGAGATCACGACCTGAACCGACATCGAGAGTCGGACAGACACTCGACCGACCGAGCCACCCCGTGCCTTCTCGAGTTGGTTTTGTTTTCGGTGAGGTCTTTTTAGCAGAGTCAGTGCGGCATGGCCCCAGGGGCCACTACCTGGCGCTGCCCGTCGGGGACAGCGTGGCATTTACCCTCGTGGGCCGCTGGGGAGCCGGGTGAGGTCAGGTCCCCTGCTGCGCTCAGTCCTTCGTCCTGTTGCCGCCGGGCCTCTGGCGAAAGTTCTCGCGCTGCTGAGTTTTTCTCGTATTCTCCCTAGTGTCTCAGAAGCGGACGCCAAAGTGTTTTTAAACGAGTGAACGAAGGGTGTTTGTTTACAGGGCCTCTTCCATCGTGTTCTGCGTGAGGAGATCTCTTTGGCAAAACTCGTGAGGATGAAGCCAGAAGAACTCGTGTCCAAAGAGCTGTCCACGTGGAGGGAGCGGCCGACAAAGCCTGTGAGTGCCAGCCGGTGAGGGGGCTCAGCGCCGGTGGCCTGGGTCCCCGGGGGCGGCTGCTGGGCGAGGCTCGAGCGAGCCCTCCAGAGCAGGGCTTCAGGCTCTGTGTACCCTTTCATGTCAGGCGATGGAGTCCAGAAATAAGCAGCACGGTGACAGTAAACAGACCACCGTTAAACGGGACCCTGTGCCCAACATGGAGGACTCGCCACCCGTGTCCGATTCAGACGTAAGCGTTTGGGGCTCCCGGGGTTTGCGAGGGTCGGGTAAAAGTCCTCCGTTCCCAGGGGCTTCGGTGTCCGAATCGCCCGGCACGGTGCCGGCGGCCCTTCGTCACACGCGCCGTCCCGTGCCGGTGCCGCAGGATGGGCAGGAAGGGCTCAGGCGTCCGCTCGTCGCCCCGCAGGAGCAGCAGGAGTCGGTGCGAGCCGTCCCCGAGCAGAGCGCTGCGCCCCTCCTTGACATCTTCAGCAGTATGTTGAAAGACACCACGAGTCAGCACCGGGCGCATCTGTTCGACCTGAACTGTAAAATTTGTACAGGTGAGCGTGGCTTGGGGCATGAAACCTCGGAGCTGAGACTTCACTGGCTGTTGTTTGAAGTCGCTGTCCTCCTAATGGCAGTCGTACCCGACCCACGTGAAACAAGTTAGAAGACTGGGGCGGTTTTCTGAAGTTGTAGTGTCTGCCTCTACCTTCACGGCTTTTTCTTTTTCATAAGAAATCATCTACTCGTGGGCAAGCTGTGCCCTCCAGTGTGTGGGATTCCTCATGAAGGCCTTCCCCGTGTTCTTCAGGTCAGGTTCCGTCATCGGAAGATGAACCGGCTCCAAAAAAGCAAAAGCTGTCCACTTCTAAGAAGGAAGAGTCGAGATCCAAGTATGACACCGCTCCTTCTGAGCCAGTTCTTAGCTCGGCTGATGACGCGGTTCCAGAAGCTCTGCCCGAAAGTGCCTCCGAGCCAGACCTGGACAGTGCTGCTTCGCACACACACTTGGAGAGAAAGTATTTCCCTGTGCCGCCGGGAGACGGCCACCTGGAGCCTTCTGCCCTGGAAGGCCCCTCCTGCCCGGCCACCTGCGGGGGCCCAGTGCTCACCACGGTCACGGTGTCTGGCCGAGACCCCAGGACCGCGCCAGGCGGGTCGTGCACAGTCACGACCCCTGCAGCAGCCCGCCCTGACGGCGCCCACCCAGCGGAATCCCGACAGGAGGTCCTGAAGCCTGCCGTGACCTCGGTGACAGTGCCCAAGTCCATACTGGCGAAGCCGTCCTCGTCCCCCGAGCCCAGATACCTCCTGCCGGTGCCACCGTCACCGCGCGTCAGGTGCGCTCTACACGTGGAGTCTGGACAAGCCATGAGTTGCGTTCCCTGTGGGTTAACAGAAAGAGCAGAGGGGAGGGATCCAAGCGCTCAGCTCAGTCCGCTGTGCCTAGAATACGGCCATGGTTGGGTGCTTTGCACGGGCAGTAGGAGGCCTGCTTATAGGCTGCCTGCTCGCTATTCTAAACCTGCAGCTCTTAAAACCCGAAACGTGATCTTGTGGTCATTCGGGTTTGTCGCCTCTTCATTTTATTTTTTCTTGACCAGAATGCGTCACAGTTAAAAGTACTTGATTTGAAAAAAACTACCAAAACGTGTAGGAGTTTGCTCTTGCTGTTAATAATTGCCGAAGACGTCCATACTTGGAAAAGTTTTGTGCAGAAAGAAAGATTTATCTCTCTCCTCTGATTTTGTTTTACAGCCTCTCCGAGTCAAGGTCCCCTCCGGAAGGAGATACGACCCTCTTTTTGTCTCGACTCAGCACCATTTGGAAAGGATTCATTAACATGCAGAGTGTAGCAAAATTTGTCACTAAGGCGTATCCCGTCTCAGGGTGCTGTGACTATCTCAGCGAGGTTAGAACTGGGAGAGGGAGAGCGAGAGAGCGAGCGTGTGCGCACAGGCGTACGTGCACGCGTCTTCTGTAGACGCCCTGACCCCACGTAGACTCCAGGGTGGTGGCCTTCCAGCAGCGTGTCCGGACGCATAAGCACGGGAGGCACGGGAGAGCCCGCTGTCACGAGTCAGCAGGTTAAGCAGTTTGGACGGTGGCAGGCACTGAGATGAGCGGTCGGGCATCCCGACATCGACGACGAAGCCGCCATCGTCTTCCCCCCCTTTGTGCAGTGAGGGCGTTTACCCAGGGCGTGCGCTCCCAGCTGAAGGCGAGGTCGGGCACATGTGAGTGTTGGTGTGTAGTAACACGCACAACAGCTCTGCTTTTACAGACTTAGTGCGAACAGCGCTAGGGTGTGCAACCTCCGCAAGTAGCCTAGTAAGTCGTTGTGGATCGTATCTCGTTGCCGTATGCATACGTTCCCGAAAGATGACCTAAGGGTTTTGCAAAACGTAATCCTGTTTGGCTGGAGGCCATCATAGCACGTTTATGTTTGGTGACTCATAATCCTGGATGATAACCAAGCACCATCTAATACTGTTATGACCGTTTCCTTTGGAATGGTGGTTCCCCTGAGTCTCGGGTAGTTGGATGCCTCGAAATTACTGCATCAGTGTCTCCGGGTGCCGTGGGTTTACCGGTCATTTACTCCAAGTATGTTTTGTCTAGGACCTGCCAGACACGATTCACATTGGTGGAAGGATCGCGCCCAGGACGGTCTGGGATTATGTCGGCAAGCTCAAATCTTCTGTGTCTAAGGTACCTGCTTTAGTCTAATCTCTGCACCTGTGGAGGAAGGTGTGTGTTCAAATGCAACTTTCTCTTTTGCTTTTTATCTTGATGGGTCAGTACTTGAAATGTCAGCCTATAAGTTATTAAGCGTTGCCAGGTAAATGTTTAAAATTATGTTTGTAGCTGGATAACAGTATGTTTGGGTGATACAGTGATGGCAGTCTTACTACAAGTAATTTTAATAATGCGTGCTGGTCGGTGTTAGAAATACAGGCGCCATGTCTCCTCATTGTTTCTGTGACCGAGGAAGCCAGCGGGTGCTTTATGGTGACCCTGCTGGGGCTCGAGGCCTGGACTCTGGGGGAGGCCTGGGTGCCGTGAGCCCCTGAGACGCGGCTGCTGCTGGGCTGCGTGCAGGGGAAAGGGCTGCCTTCCTCCTCAGGCTCCACACGGGGCCTAGACCTTCTGGGCTCCTTGAGCCTTCCTGGCTCTCGTGTAGATCACACGGCCGGGTGATCGGGACCACTGTCCTCACAGCACATGATGTGTCGGTGCGAGAACACCACGAGAGGGGCTGTTTCGAGGACGTGGGGCTACGAATAGGCGTGATCTTGAGATTCCTGCCAAGACCAGGGTTGGAGTCCAGCAGCCTGATACTGGACACCGTGTCGTCCCTAGCACTTGTCCCAACATGCGGGCCGGCAGGGCCGTGGGAACCAAGTCCGGGGAGCTCTTGTCCCTCTCCTGTGAGACTGCTGGTGAGGTTCAGGTGCAGGCTGAGCGCGGACGCCTTCTCCGGTAACCGCAGGCCAACGTGCTCTCGTCCTGTTTGTGCCGCAGGAGCTGTGTCTCATCCGCTTCCACCCCGCGACCGAGGAGGAGGAGGTGGCCTATATCTCTCTCTACTCCTATTTTAGCAGCCGCGGCCGCTTCGGTGTCGTAGCTAATAACAGCAGGCACGTCAAGGACCTCTACCTGATCCCGCTGAGCGCCAAGGACCCTATTCCATCCAAACTCTTGCCCTTTGAGGGACCAGGTAAGCGCCAGTTTTCTGAGTGGTGACACCTGATCCCACACGTCCCTTTCCCGCCAACGCCACGTCCTCCCGAGCTGCTCACAGGCTTTGTAGCAGCAAGAGCGCTGAATGTAGGTGAAGCCGTGCTGAGCTATAGGACTCGGCCTCTGGGGTCCTGGGGATGGTGGGGTGCACCAGAAATACCCTCACCGTTGGCATGAACTGTCTTAGCAAGTGGCTCGCAGAGGGGAAAACCCCTGTCATGGCCTCGGGTCCATGGAAGCGCAGAAGAGCCGCAGAGGAAGGTAACCGTTGACGTGGGCTCGCGGGTGCTTGCGCTTTACCGACAGCTCAGAGCTGCGCACGCGCCAGGCAGGTTCCTCTCCTGCCTCCCAGGAGACGCAGGAGAGCAGCTCTGTCTGTCCGTTCCTTACAAAGTTCTGCTTTTGGAGGATTATTTGCAAATTAGTCTTAAGCAAAACACCCAACGATTCAGACTTGTCAAGGGGTTGAGGGCGATTCCAAGGGGCACCCGGTCTGGGAGGGGCACGTGACTAGCCGCACACTTGGCAGAAGGCGCCCACATTGAAGTGTCTCCTTGGCCATGAAGTCCCCAAAGGATTGAGAACGCCCACAGGGCACCGTATCTGACGCACGGTGGGCTCTTTTTGAGGTGCTTTGTTCCGGAGGCAGCGGCCGAGCGCCGGGCCATTGCTGGCGCCGCCCGGACCTGGCACCTCCGTACCCTTGGCCCCGTCACCGGTCCTGGCAGGCGCTCCTGCCACAGCCACGCGCCGGACCCTCCCCACCTAAACCGTAGCGGGGCCCCGCAGGGCTGCTTCGGCCAGAGTGTGCCTCCCACGCCACACGCACGGCCCAGGTCCCTACGTGTCAGAAGCAGGCCCCGGACGGTAGCGGTGGGTGTCTGTGACCGCGGGGCCATGTGTCTGCTGGCACGCTCCATTGAGTCACCTCACTGCCAAATACATGAAAACCAAGTACTTTAGGGTGTCCCCTCCCACACTCTGTGGGGGGAAGAGACGCCACCCGACGACGGGTGGCGGCAAGAACCTTGGTGGAGGTTCTCGGCGAGCGGCTGTGTGAAGTGTGCTGGCCTGCTCCCTGGATCGCCGTCCTGTGCTCCTGGAGGCGAAGACGAAGAAACTGGTCTCTCGGGCCCCGTGGAGAATCTCCGGTCAGTCGCCAGTATAGGAGCTCGTGTGGAGAATGTGGCGGAAGCGTAGGGATCCTGGCTGACACAGACACAGGTGTCCGCAGAGCTGGGCGGGCGGGGGCGGTGGGGGGGGGAGGATGCCCAGCCTCCCTCTGAACAAGAGTAAGCTGTCCCCGCTGCAGGGTCCGCAGAGCATGAGCCTCCCTGAGACTCTGCTGTGGGATGAGCAGGACGGGGCCTGTGTGGGGGCTCTGCCTGGGCAGGGGTGTGGGGAGCTGGGCTCCGTGGCTAGGCGAGCACGGGTTCCTTGCAGCGGATGGGAGAGGAGACCCTCCATTGGAGTCGCAGTGGGTGCAACCCAGCTGGTGGAGAGGCCGGGGCCCCACGGGACATTCCGGGGCAGCACGGGCACAAGCGGGGCGGGCTGGGTGGGGCCTCTCGCCCGACCCGCTGAGCACCCCGACACACTTGGGGATCGGCCACCCGCCCTCCCAAAACTACAGCACCACCCGAAGAGCCCCCTGAAAGAGCTGTGTTTTAAGGGCTTCTCAACCTAACCTAATTCAGCATATGTTTTTTATTCTCCTGATGCCATTGCCTACCATTGATATCTGTGCGTATGTGATCCGCTTCCCCAGTGAAACAGCCTTGGCCCCAGGCCGGGTCATCTACCTGACCTGCCTCGTGTGTTCGTAACATGACTTGGCACTCTCTGGGTGCGGATGCTCGTGTGTCCCGGCCTCGTGGTGGGTGTGTGCGTGTGTGTGCGCATGTGCTTGGAAGCCTGGGTGTGGGTCCCGGTGTGTGTGTCCCGTGTGCACGCATCTGCAGGGCTGGGCGCGGGAACGTTTCTCCTGGGTCACAGAAGTGGCCTCCGCGGCACAGGCTGGTCGGAGGGCGGCAGTGATGTCCCTCAGCGGAACAGCCTGCCGTCCGGCCAGCGCTGTCCCCAGCCTGGCGGGGGCGCCCTTGACTCCCGCCGCGGCCCTGCCCACGGCTGTCCCTGGCCTGAGGTCACACACCCAGTAAATGCTCCCGCTAGGGAGCAGGGCACAAAGCGCAGGCCTCGGCGGGACGCAGGGCCGCGGCTCGGGGGAGCCACCAGCCTGGGTGAGGGGCCTGCTGTGTGAGCAGGGGGAGGGTGTGAAGAGGAGCTTAGGGTGGAGGTAGGGAGGGTGCCACAGGAGCGACCAGCGCTCTTCCCGGAGCTCCATTTGTGGAAAGTCCTTTTATTCCTGTAGAAAATCACAGGTGCCCTCGCCTCCCGCACTCAGGAGCCCAGTAGGTTTCGGTGACGTGGGATTCTCCCCAGACTCTGGCTGTTCGCACCAGAGGGTGCTTAAACCACATCCTGACCCAGGGACTCTGTGAGCCTGTCCCTTGGCCAGTGCTGCGTGTTTTTGCAGCTCCACGCTCCTGACCGGACCCACGGAAAGCGTGTCCACACGCGGTCCATCCTCAGCCCACACACCGAGTGTCCACGCGGCATTTCAGAGCACAGCCAGAGCGCACTCGGCTCCTGAGGACGTTTCCGTCCGTGCGTATTTGTGTGACTCGTCCCCCAGAAATGCCAGGTTGTCATGTTCTGTCACACGGTGTCATTCTAACCACCTGACAGTGTGATCTCAGAAGACACCTGGGAAGCCTGAGTCTCCCTCAGCCAGCAGACTGTCTCCCACTTGGGACGTTAACGTAAGTGGCCTCGAGCTGAGCTGACAGGGCTCTTCTCCCCTGGGGACGTGGGTCTCAGATGCTCTCCACGTCTCAAGGCCTTGTACACGGAAGGAAGACCGGGCACGCTGGACATTCGTCTTGTGTGTGCCCTGTGACCCCGACAGGACTGGACCCAGGCCAGGGCGCCCCGTCACTCCCGAGTGAAACCAGGGCACGGGTTCGCGCCTGGGACGCCTGTTGGGTGACCTTGGGCTTCTAAGAGGCGCACACCATAGACGGCAGGGACACCGCCTGCCCGGGTGCTGAGTGGCGAGGGCTGTCTGCCTGGAGTAAAGCCGTGGTGCCGGCTTCTGTATTCATTTTCACTGCTTTCTAAATTAGCTGGGAACTCTGGGGTGAAGGATTGTCAGGTAAGCATTCCTCGGTTTTCCTGTGTGTGTGGTGTGAATCGGTGGCTGTGCTCACACTGTCCTCAAAGTCAAGCGTGATCTTGAGTCCATGTATCGCTCTTTCTCCTTCGAAATCAATAAAAGTATTTTGTAGAAACTGGTCACTGTTTGTTTGAATTTGAACCGTTTGTAGCTCTTGTCGCAGGTCCGCCGTGACGGAGGACGCGCCGACGCCACCCAGCCGTGGGAGCGCAGCCCGGCTGAGGGTGTGCAGGGCCGTGCTGCTCTGAGCGCCTGGACGAAGACGGACAGCACTCTCCTTTCACCTGAAACGTGTGCTAAGCCCCGTGGCTTCGTACGGGTCTCAGGGAGTCAGACTTAGACGGAGGCGTGTGTGTGTGTGTGTGTGTGCGCGCGCGCGCACACGCGCGCGTGTGTGTGTGGTGGTGGTGGCAGTGGGCTGGGGGTGGTACATACTCTTGCCCTGTATTTGCCAAGTCTCTTTCTGGACCAGTCCTACTTAAGAACCATGGCCTGTTAACTCCCACGTAGTTTCTGCTTAGCAGGAGTGAAAATTCTGTCTTGATGGATTCAGACCATAAGAGAGTCTTCATTTAAAAAAAACGAATAGTGTAGGGTACCAGATTTAGGAGTAAAAGCACTACTTTCGTAGTTCCGGGGTTAAGGAGTCAGCTTTCAGATGGCTTATTAAAACTAAGTTTTGTCCCATGATGTGTCTGGGTGGGGGGGGCGGGGGGGACAGGCATGTGCTTCCCACACCTTCACCTTCCCCGGCATCCCTGCTGCTGACACACCTGGATACAAGCCCTGGTTTTGGTCTCATGTCAGAAACCTGCTGGCACACGACCTTGCAGATGCCCCTGTCCCTGGGTTGGTCCACTGTTTCTGTACGGGTGGTCTGAGTCTAGCCACAGAGGCTGAGGCTGGAGACCCACCAAGAGCACTCAGGGATGCCCGCATAAAGCCAACCAGGCTTGTTTTCCGTGCAACACACCCCGGAGACCCATTGCCCTGGCACTTTAGAGGGCGTGGGTGCCGACGCCCCTGCTTAGCCCGATGGACACCCCTCTGGAGGTGGGACGGCACACCCCACCCGCCCACCCACCTAGTTGCCTGTTTCCATCTGCTTTGCGAGTTACAAACCTAACAACAACCCTCCAAAGGGCGGTGGGGTAAGTAGGCATCTCTGCTTCTAATGATGGATGAAGGGAGGAATTTGGCAAAACCGGAGAAGCAGCCCTGTGCCCTGGGCTGCAGCCAGTGTGGTCACCACCACCGCACCCTCTCCTCTCCCGAGGAGCACTCGGCAGCGGGCAGGCCTGCAGAGGGCCCTGGCTGGGCGACGGGCATTCTGGAGGAGAGCCGGCCCCCTACTGCCTCCCAGATGGGGGCACCCGTTTGATCTTGCCCCCTGTCGCCTCGCCTGCCACCCCCCTTGTGGCAGCAGGAGCCTGGGTGAACCTGGGGCGCACCCTCACGTCAGTAAAGATCTAAAGGTCGATTCCGAGGCCCCTAAATTAGCAAATTTTACTGTTTGTTCCACAAACGTCAGTTACTGCCGTTTACACTTCAGATACTGTGCCAGTTACACTTCAGATACTAATGCAGCCGTGACACGAACACACGCGTCGGGTGATGAGATCCGACTGCTTCAGAACAGACGTAGGCATAAAGTCTCGGTGAAATTCAAAACTTAACACCGATCCTCGTTAGACTGTTTACAGATAGGTGCAGATGCAGTCCGGTCGAGAGTTGAAAGCTACTTAATTAGATGCCAGTGCCTGGCGAGCTTGCTGTTCTCAAAACAAATGTAAATGCTGAGTGATTTAACCGTCTTCCCCCGTGATGAATAGGACAGCAGAGGCTGGAATCTGCAGAGGGCTGCCGAGGTTAGGGGTGTAGTGATCGCCCTCTAGTCTGCATATTCACCCGTTGTAAGTTTCCCTTGTGAAGGCACGCTTCACCAGGACTGAGACCCAAGCCTCCCCGGATTTAACACCATGACTTCCCTGCCATGCACAGCTTACTGACTTCTGGGGCCTGACCCCGAGCCACAAGCCCCAGTTGGGCTTTCCCTGCATGGAGTACAGGTCCCGGGGACTTCCCCCTCACCCAGGCTCCCCGGCCCTGGCTCGCACCCACCCACCCACGTGGCTGAGCGCATTCCTTCACCGTGGCTCTCGTGTCAGGTTCTTCAGGGAGAGCCAGGCTCGCAGAGCAGGTCTGCAGGCTCTGGGGCCGCTGGCAGCCGACCCGTGGTCCAGAAGGGCCAGATAGCCATGTTAGCAATTGACCAAACCCCAGGCTGGGTCTGAGTAAGCAGTCAGATGTCCAGTAAACTGCTACGGTGAGAGGAGTGCCCTTGTAAGTTATCCTTAACTCGTGTTAATTAGGAAATGAACTTGATAGATTAACCCTCAGGTCTGCTGAGCAGAAACGTTTGCCATGTGGCACAGTGTGGGCTGCCTGATTTTCCAGTCTGTTCCCTCCTTTGCCTGGCTCTTCCCTTTCCTGGATACACAGCTTTCGTTGGAGGGCTGGGGTGGGGGGGGGGGCAGGGAGAGGACGT